ACTGCCTGAGGGTTATAATCCCTAAGTGCGGCCGAAGGCCGCCTACGAAGAAAGGTGTTCTCTGCAAAATGTGTTCAGCCCCCCCTTCTTCGGCAACACAGAAATAATAATTCTACTAAGTAAAAATTCCGAATTAAAAATCCTCTTTTATTATTCAAAATTCCAGTCTGGTGGCATTAAGTTGTATGTTATTTTGCTATCTTAATCATCGTTTATATGAAAACTTTAACAATAAATTATATAAGAACTATAGGGTTGCTAGAAAAAAGGGGGGTCGTTTTGAAATCAGGGGGTCCTATTCTACCCCCCCTCATCCCCCCTTTTTCTAGAATTTGCCGTCCGTCTACTAAAATTTTCCCTTTAGGTGAAACCTTGCAGATTTTTTTTTTGAATTTTTGCACAAAGTCTGATCCAAACCCAGAGATCTGCCACATTTTTTTGAAATCTACCACATTTTTTTGCAGATTCCACAGAATTTGGAAGTGCGATCACTGGTGTAGGGCCTTTAATACAAACTGTGGCAACTGTAACCATGACCAGTGTGACCGCGGGTTTGTGAAAAAATGTAGCAGAAGAGACTTAAAATGTATTAAAACGTATCACTTTTTTTCATTTAAGTATCAAAGCATCAATATGGAATAAAACTAATAATTTTTATGAAAAACTATATTCCAAAACAACTTAACATTTATTGCACGAGCAAGTTGAAATTATTTCCCGAAAACGATTTGCGTAATTTCAGTAAGTAGACTTTCGATTTCGCATTTTGATATCAAAATGCGTAGAAAAAGAGCTAGCATAGCCACGTTTAACCACACCTTTACTCTGGTAAACTATGTTTATAAACAGCTGATTCGTAGCTTTTTTCCTTGAAAACAAAAATAAATTGTAAACAAAATTTAAGGAATTTTATTTACTCAAATGCGTTATGCCTTTCGGCAGCGGGCGGATTCAAAATAGGATGAATATCGTACAGCTGATTGCAGTTTACCAACTACCAGAAGCTTCCACCACGATAACTAAAATAAACCGATACTAAAATAATTTCACAAAAACAAAATACATAGCGGAAAATTTACCGCAAAACTCCACAGGCAAACTGTCATTTTGACGAGCAGTATGACGCAAATTTTTGTGTTTTGGCACTTTGATGTCTTGATATGTATAAGCATTTGCCGCATGACGCCGCCAGACAACATTCTCTCAATTCCGGTGTTTAAAAACATTTAAATCCTAAAAAACTTGCTGAATAACTTCCTAAAACGTTATCATACATAATCCAATAGGGAACAGATTCTTATTTTGATTTAATATTAATATTTCATATGGCTGTCAAACTATCAAATTGCCTGCAATAGATGTCAAGCAATAAGCGCTTACATGCATTGCAGCCCATGAGAAATAAGCGGTATCCATTGGAAATATATTTTGTGACATGGTTATCACGACATTGGTGTTTTCCTGTGGAGACAGGGCCTTACCGAGCACCGAGTTACCGAGTACCAAGCCCTAATTTTTGTTATTGAACATAGCGAAGAAAAAATACAACGCTTTTACTGGTCGTTTATTCAGATTTTGACGTTTTTCGTCATGGACCATGAATCACAATACATCGAACCTTTCATGTGAACGACAACGAAGTTTTAGATGTACGTTGCCACAGGTGCACATGTTTTATAATGCATACAAAATTACAAATTTTTTTCTTTTGTATTTGGAAAAGTGCCTATCACAATTGAAGAAAAAGTATATCTCCGAAATTCATCGAAAAATGTAACACTTTTGATCCACTTGGAGCAAAACGGTCACACTGTCGATGACGATGAAATTCCGGGATTCCCCGGACAATCTTGCACATTACCATGAACGAAAGACATTGGTTCATGGCACATTACATCAATCGTTTGGCGCCGCAACAAGCCCATTCGATCCGCAGCGGCTAATAAAAGCAGAATTGTTTTGTGACTTTCGCGTTCTATTCGAAGTATTTATAATTGTGTGTGTCGAAATGTCGAACGACCGGACAGAGGCCGCCGAATCAAAGGAACAATGGTATGTATAAAATAATTGTGATTGAGTTCAGAGTGTGCAGCTCGAGCGATTTATTTTATTGTTGCGCGTAAAAATTTAGGAAATCGCCTTTTGCAATTTTTTTCCCAAGTAAATTCATTGTGCGCTACCATGCAAATGCGTTCCTAATATTTATTTCGAACGTAGAAACACCGGAAAAGTGGGATGTGGAGATTTAAGGTGTGATTATGCATACTTCGCTTAACTTCGCACAACCATTTGTACCAGTGCAATAAAAATGTAAGTTAGTCAAATGTGAAGCAAAATCAAAACTCAACAGATCGCTAAGTTTTGAAAAGTTCTGCTAATTTCTGGATAATGAATTTCATACAAAATACATAGAAAGTTCATGCGAAATTACAGTTTGAAGTTTATGCGAAGTTGTTGCGAAGTATGCATAGTCAGACCATTAACTAGTTTTGGTATGGTAACACTTTGTATTGTTATCCTCAAATGGTCTTGTTAGCGGATTTTTCTAGTAAGGATACGTTTATGACCTAGCGAATTCGCGTAGCACGATGCGATTAAAATCGCTACTAGCGATCTATTGTACAAATTCATATATATGTATAGCTCGAATCGGCGTAAGATTAAAAAAAAATTCCAGGAAGAAATTTTTTTACGCCGTTAGGTGTCTCCTGTTTAGGTGAACACAAATAGTCTGTTCCTTTGAACTTCGGACTAAAACCTGTGGAACTGTCAAACTACAATTTTACTCTCTCAAATGAGAGTAAAAGGAGAACAGATGCAGAAGTGCATAGGAACGCAAAAAGCACTATTTCCTGTAAAAACGTCAGTCGGTTTGTTTACCTGTCATTTGTACAACACTGATTTAGCTGAAATATCACTAAATAATTATTAAAATCTATACATATTCAAACATTTCGTTGTTTAATTCCATTTTTTTACAAATATAACGTACTTTGCTTTCATCGCTGTTTGTTTTTGCTTGCACATGCAAATCAGCTGATCGTTTGACACTTTTCATGAACTTACAGGAAAAAAAACTCTGGACTAAATCCTGTAACTTCTGACTAGGAACAGTTGCTCAGTTACTCTCTCAAATGTGTTCCCACTTACAGGTTTTATGTCAATAGGAACGACTTCCTGTAAGTTCTGACTAAATCCTGTAAACCGGACTGCTATTGGAACAGACTAAAATGAAAATTTTTCCCCCAATTGCGATATGGGAAGTGTCCGCCATCTTGGATTTAATTTTTTTTTTTACGAATGCGTGCGAATTTGGCATTTCACGCGAAAAAAGGTAAACAAATT